AGGGAGGGGAAGGGGTTGTCCTCGTTTATTTGGGGCGGGCTTGCAAATCACGGGAGTATTTCTACGTATGCTTTATCTACTTCTGTGATGCGGATTGAAAGGAGGCGGGAATCGCCGCGTCGTCTCGAGTAAGCCGCTGGAAAAGTAGGCAATTTGCGCTGCAAAAACCCCCCGAACGTAGACAACCGACATTGAACCGCTCCCCCCTGTCAGCCGAACCTTAGACCGCGCCTGAGCTATGCGAGTAATTTCAGCTCCGGATTCCTGCCGCCTGTTTCTCTACTATTTTGATTATTTTCCGCGGCGTTGATACAGTTGATGTAATTTACTGCCGGTCCCGGGTATCAGGCTGCCGCGGGGGCTGCGCTACGCTACGCCCCCCCCCCCCCTCGGCCAGCGTTTGTACACTCCATTAGAGAGGTATTCATCGGAAAGACGTGATTCGACGAGATTCTAGCGGGGACCGCCACAGCTGTCTGCTGGCCGCACATCTGCAGCTGCCGCAGCTAGCTGTCCCTATCGCGATGCCAAGCAGCTAACCACCAGCCGAGTGCCGCCGTGGCCAAGCCATGCGTGCATGATAATAAACACCACAACGTGTGGTACTCGATGTACGTGTAGTTGAGGCGGGGCGGGGTGCATTCGCACTCCACTAGTACATACCTGTGTGTAGAGGTACTACGTGTTGGTGCAGTTGGACGCGCCTATTGGTACATCGACGGGCGGATTCAACTTCTCTTGCGTATCGCAGCGCCGCCCGCAAGACGCCGGGCTCGCAAAATAAGCAGCTGAACGGTTTCGTGGTAGTTGCAGATCAAACATCCTCCCCACCCCTCCCCAACCGCAACCCCTTGGGAGTGCGAATGTATTACCCGAACGCGAGGGGCTTTACGTCCGTCTAGGTGCTGTTCCGGTGGGGCTTCAAGACATTTTGCTACTTTGAGGCGTCTTATATCCGAGGATACTGGCGCAGTCTCTCCAATTTCGTGAAACCCGCGACTACGCGCCGCACTGTCTGTGGCAGCCTGCGGTCAACAGGTAGCGGTTAAAGCCGAGGCACGTCCACGTTCGATGGGCCGGCCACACACGGGTGGAGCTTGGACGCCCCCCCCCCCCCTCTTCCCCTCACTCACACACATTCTTCCCCCCTTTGCTCAGAGCATCGGATTCCTTCGCACTTCTCGCTGACTCTGTAATTTGACGAAAAATAAAAGTCAGTTGTGGGCGCCCCTGGCCGGGAATGGGTAGGGGGCAGCAGGCAGCAGGGGTAGGGGGGCCATGGGCACGGCGCGCTCTCAACCAACCAACCTCATCATTTCACGAGCAAATAAGAGAATTATAAGAGGAATCGTCGGCGCTGAGGATCGAATCAAGGGAAGAAACACAATAATAATAAAAGTAAATTCGAAAAAGGCAAGCCGGGGAGCCTTATGTGTCACGTACTCCGTGCCGATCGAACGGGCGATGGAGGATGGAGGCGTCAGAAGGCGTCGGTGTGCTGGACTTCCCCTCAAAGTGCGTACCTTCCGATGATCGGCCGCACTCCGAACGCAGCCGATCGATAGCATCTCTCCGCAGACTCATCAAACTCGGCTCGAAGCGAAGAGGGATAGTGGATATATAGTAAGAAGGTATCCCGAGGTACCCGTGTGACCTCACTCGCCCACCCGACGACCTCCTTCTTCCCCAACACGTGCATGTCATAAAATCGCCAGTGACTGTAAAAACTATGGCGATACACAACACAATCTGCCCGCGCGGTGGCAGATCGGCCGAGTCCACGTCCGCAGTCAGACTGTACCGCATGGCACACGTGCGGGCGGGTTGCCTACTCCGAGCCGTAAGGCGCCATGGTCAGAGACTTGCTGACGACAGGCGACACCGTCCTTCGTGCGAGTGGCACCTCCATGGTGACAGTGTTAGATACCGATGAGCACCATGAGCCCCCACCCCGCCACCCCTCTTGCCTACCTCCCACTCCGTTCCCTGCCATATTTCGCATCATTTGGTAAGAACCAAATCGGAAAGCTCTGAAAGGCGCCGCTGCACCGCATTGTTGAGCCGGCCGGCCTGAGCCGGTCCGCTGGCGGTCTTGCCGTTGACGTCGTGTCACGAGCTGTGCCCAGGCCGGCCCGGCCACCCTGACCGGGCGATGGCCAGCGACCTGCCCGTCGAAGGGGTTGACTCGATCCCCCGCGACCTGCCGGTCGAGGATCCCGACGTCGTGACGTACCTGGCGACCAAGATCCGGCGGCTGGAGCGGTGGCTGCTCGGGGAGCTGCGCCACGGCCGGGCGGAGCGCCGCCTCCTGGAGGAGCTCGTCAACATCAAGGAGGAGGACCTCGAGTTCCACCGCCAGCGTCTGGACGCCACACTGGTAGGCCACCCGAGCGTGGTTCAAACGCAACAGACAGGGACCCCGAGGGACTTTGTTTCGACATCGGCGTGACGTGGTCCCTTGCCGTGCTTACCAGAAGCAGGTGAGGCGACTCCGCTCTGAGCTCGGCGAGAGTCGGAAAGAACTCCTCGAACGACGAAGACTCCTCAGCCAGGCCTTCGTGGACAACGTGAGGCTGCGCGCCGACAAGTGAGTAGCAACCAAGTAGGCTGTTTACAATTTTCAGCATATTTGCCTAAACCCAGCGGTCTTTGCCACCTTGTTTCAGCAAGGAACTGAGGTCTATGGTCCAAATTAGGAGTTTGGAGACTTATCATTCTAAAAAGACAAATGATGTGTTTATCCAATACACTGACACAGACCTTTAACACAAAAGCAAACTGTTGAACCTGCTTATTGTCTAGATGGTAGGACAAGATAGGAAAGAACTGAGAGTTTTTATATAATTTTGTATTGGTTAACTGTCTTGTACATTTAACAATATGAAGGAAAAATAAAGTTACAATTTTACCGCTTCCTATTTCTTTGCAATATGCATAAAATAACAATTCATAGAATATATAGTAGATACAATATCAAAACCACATACAAAGTTGAAAGCTTAAATTTGTATCCTTAGTATTATTGCTATTGGGTTTCTTCAAAAACCTCCTATCACATCTGAAAAAATGTCAAAAAAAGGAATAATATAACAGTAACAAAAGTATGAGGAAAGAGCTGTAAACTGTGAATACATGAAATGAAATAAGTATGCAAGAATTCTTTGGTGAAAAATACAACCTTGCACTTGTATCATGATTAAAGGGATAGGAAGAATGAAAGAAAAGTAGCTAATTTGAGGGGAAAGGCTGTCAAACCAAACAATTCAAACTTGCTTCATTATACATATAGAAAATCAGAAACCTACAATCACTCTCACACTAAAACTTGACAACTATAATATCAAGTTACGGAAAGAAGATATCACAAGCTATTCAAATCACATGGAACCATTGTGTTTGAATATGGAGACAATAATCAGATGAGCACATAAACATATTACTCAAACCTGAGAAGGTAACTAGCAAAATATGACAACATATTTCTCCCACAAAGAAAATACCAGGAACAGACCATGGAAGTACAGTGGAATAGTGATATGACCAGTACTGACCAGTACAAAAAGAGAACAGCTACAACAGAGAAAGCTGGTCCCTTTTAATTCTAGCATATTTTTGGTTGTCGAACATAAAGGAAATCTATGTTATAACAATGTCATCATAAAAAATATCCTTGTGATGATCCTTGCAAGGGCAGCGCCAGTGTCATGGATAAGAGTCAAGACAACGCCTTATTTATTACAATATCAAGTCTGTCTTCAATTATTGCAACATATGCCCACAAGACAAAACAAACCACCCAAATATTGTCAAGAGATGGAATAGACCTGCAAAACTGATTCTTAAATGCAAGAAATGTGTGACTAGAAGACTTTGCACCACTTTATGTGGTGTTAAATTATCTATATTTTACATCATAAATTACACCCTGTTATTAAAGTCTATCCTATGTACTTCCATGTCTTGAACTCATGAGGTTAAAACTTGTAGCATGGCTAGCCAAAGCCTCAGTTCGACTGGTAACACTGGCAAATAAATTGTCAACAAGAACACTTTCTTCAACACCTACACATTCCATTCTGTTTTCTTCAGATTCTTTTCGATCCTCGCATAATTTTTTCCTCACAGAATTTGTCTGTAGCTCTCCCATATTTTGTGAATTACTTCCATTTTCTCTTTCATATAAAGGACTTTGATTGGTACTTGAAATAGAGGCAAGAGCATCTGTTCCAACATCTACTTCAATATCTCCCATTACTCTTCCAGAACTCAATGTGTCAGGCTTTCGCTCACTTGGTTTTCTGCTTGTGGGTTCTGAAAGAATGTCTGAGGAAGAAACCTCATCAATTTGAACTTTTTTTGAAGAATCCACATCACAAGGCATTTTTTTAAACAAATCAGCATTAGATTTCTTAGCTAAATTGCATGCAGCCATTTGTGGACCTAAACCTTCTTTAATTACATGCCCAACCGTTGATTTCTCCTGGATCAAATTTTCAGGTCCTGCACCTTTAGCTGGACCATCATCAAAACTCTTGCTTGAATCGACAAGTTCTGCTAAGCGTTCAGTGACTAAAGTAAACTCAGATTTCTTTCCGATTTTGGGGAGTGAACTAGGAATATCATTTTCATCTGAAGATGTAGGAACAGCTCCTTTGACACTTTTCCAGTCCTTTACTTGAGGCGTTTGATTGTTGGCTTCAATAACTGTGACAGATTGTTTTCCTCCATTCACAGAGTTCATATGACTGGCTATGACTAGGTTTGGTTCTGAGCCAATAAAAGTGAGATTAGATGTGGAGGATGATGGAGCAGTGCCATTCAGAGGGTTGCCTCCTATACTGACTGCATCTTCGTAAACTGACTTTATCTCTTCATACTCATCAAGCCCTTTATCAAGAGAGTAACTAAGGTTTGCGCTGCCTGCTAAACCATCAGATGTAATCTGAAAAACACAACATAAAAATAAGTACTAATTTAAAAATGCAATAAAATGAAATTTCTGTAAATAATAAAACCAGAATACACCTACATGGGGAGAAAGAGGTGTATAAGATCCTGTTCTCTTATTAATTGGGAAGAGGAGCTCTGTACTCCCCATCGACTTCGAAGATCTATGTCTGGCCCTAAGTTGGTTAGGACTGATGAGAATACCATGACTGGTGCCAATGGCTGTGACACTCCCCACTGGGCTCACATTGACAGAGGATCCTAGTACATCAAGGGAAGATCCCGACATTGAGCGATGGTGACTTTCCAGCCTGCAGCAGAAAGAAAGAGGAAATATGTCAAAATAAATCAAGAGCCCACCCATAAATCATCAATACCCTTGAGAGCCCAGCCGACTACTGATAAAGTATACATCTCAGACTTACGTTGGAAACTGATTTAAGTGAACTAAATGATACACATTATGAAGTGTTGCTCGTAAATCATTAGTTGGGAACCCTACTTGCCAGCGTAGTTGAGCAATATTTTTGTTCAGTAGATAAACACCGTAATGAAACTGGAGTTTATCTTTCCCACGGGAAAACAGTGGAAACCTTTTGAAACATCATTTGTATTTATTGAAATGATTAATATTGCATTTTTATGTTTATATAGAGAGAATTTTAGTACTTACTCCCTTTCTCTGTCAGGTATTTTGTCAGAGATGTGGTCAATAATTTTGCTACGAGATCCAAAATGAATTATGGGGTAGCGAAGCGGCACTTGCAAAAATATAGAGACCATCTGCACTAAGTGTGCTACAAATCCTAGGGCAACAGACACTGACACATCGTCAGCATTTGATAATTCCTCAGAGTTTGGTAAATGAATACCACATATGGTATATTTCCCATCAGTCTGCATAAAGAAATATTATGATTAATCATAGGATCAATTGGAAATCAGTAACTTTGTAAAAAATATCCAACTCACCAAAGTTACTGGATAAATGTGGCTGAGTTGCGACAAAAGATTTTTCCTGCGAAAACTAAGCTGTGAGCTTTTAAGAACAAACGCCTCAAACATATCAGTGTGATGGCGCCGCCTTTCTCGCAAATGTTCCACTTCTTTATGCAAGTTTTGGTACCGTTCTGTCAACTCACAACCTAAAAGATAAGGTAGTTCAGAGCCAAGAAATACAAAGATAACAATGAATTAAAACACTAGGTTTATAGTGTACATACTATGGTCTGCATTATCATTCGCTGCTACATCCCGCTGCTTTTCTAAACATTCTAGTTGGGCCAATTTACGTTGCTTCTCTTGACGGAGAAGAGCCACCCTAAAACGAAGCACTTCAACTTGACAGAGAAGAGTCATGGTCTCTTGTTTTTGCTGAGGTTTGGGTCTGCCTTTACTTAGAAGCCTTCTAATGGTTGGATTACTTTCACGGGATATACTTGCATCTTCACTAGACATCCCGCCAACTAGTATTTTGTCCTTCAAAACACCTGACTTTAGACTCATTTTTTTGATAGCTTGTTGTTTATTTCTTAACCTGTAATATGAGAGGATGGGAAACAGAATATTACTTGTTTTGAGAAATAGAAAAACTGTATTAAATGACTTGATACTTACTTTAAAAGAAGAGAAATTGGATAACTTGGTCTAGTGTCCCCCAAGGGAAGTACAGTTGACAAATAACGTGTCATTGCATTGGATGGCAACTCCTTTACACTCAGTCTGTCAGTGAAGTAACCACCTTGCATATGAAGAACAACAGCTTTTTCATTGAAATGTGAGGCATTGGCTGTAAGTCGAGGTCCAAGGTACACTAAACCACTGAAATAGACACCCCAAACTAAAACCACATTATCATGATTTTGCTGTCCTTGATGCAACCACAACCTGATCACTAAACCTAAAAGAATACAAAAGGTACATGAGATGGATAAATACAGATAATTCAATAAATTGACTACACCAAATATTCCTCACCAGTGGCAGAAGTATTGACAGATGAAGGTAGACCAGACACTTCTATTTCTCCCCATTTTGGATGCTGGTGTTGCAAACGTTCACTTGTATAGAAAGGTGGAGACATCATAGTCTGATGAAGGGTAAAGTACAGGCTGCTGCCTGGATGCCAAGGTACATTGTAGGCAGTCACCTGAACCATACTCCTCAACCGTTGCTGTGAAGGAATATGCAGTATATTAACTGGGGAAAAATAGAACGTAATGTAAACAATGTGTATACACTTTACCTGCTGAGTGACAAGGGGAATCCACTCTTTCCTCCTTGGTGTTGGGGACCACTCCTTCCATCTTGATGAGGCTCTTTGAGGTAGAAGTGACATTGCTTGGACTTAATGCAAACATTTATCTTCTGAAATTTGACATAAAGGATTTTAATTTATCCAAACAAACACATAATTACCACACCCTTCAGTTTGACATTAAGTAAGCTCAGTCTTGGTGACTTAATTTTACAGAAGTGAAAAATATTTGGAAGTTGAGCAAAGAATAGAAGATAACTACTGACCAAGGGAATACTTATTCTTAGATCTTATGGACATAGACAACCCCATTTAAAAGGGGGTTATGTCCAATATTTTAGAAGTAAAATTTACTGTTATACAACAAACTTGATTAGTGAATTATTGCATCAGAGTACATGGGATAGCTTTGAAAAGGGAAATTATCACAAATATCGAGAAATGCTCACCTGTTGGTTAATGTTTACATATTAGGTTAAGTGACGTTTCTGTCTCCTGAGTCACCATCTCGGTGTCCTCTAGCAGCTTGGCTTGGAACAGACTTTTTGCTGTGTGACTTTTTGCTTTAGTTGATTTTCTGAAGAAATGATCAAGAACTATAGATGAGAAAGAAAAACTCTACTTGGGGTAAAATATCAAGTAAACTGGGAAGGGCGAACACACAGAACACCTAAATACAAAAACATCACATAACAAGTGCCAAGGGGAGGAAGAGGAAGGGTTCCTGAATCGAACTATATTGCAGACAGCGCCCTTTGTGCCTCCCCCTTACTTCCTCGTTCTATCGAATTTTAAATGTGTGCTATCGGAATTTAAGATCCTTCGCATAGGAAAAAAAATATTGATTGCATTCTCTCGTTTGAACCATTGAACTCACCAGTACATTCTATGTGCCTTCCTGGTTTATGTGACTGTACTTCCGATCTTTTGGTATAGTCTGATCACCTGAGGAATTTTACTGTTGGCGCCATAACAGCTGCCGGCTTCAAGCTACAAATGTCAGCACATCTTCCCTTAGCAGAGTTTTTGTATCTTCGAAAATGTCTGATATAACTTTTAAATTTGATCTCAAACAAATTAAAACAGAGATCCAAACAGCAATTATAGGGTGCTCACAAAGAGGACTTCTACACAGCACAAAATGGTAAGTAAATTTGTTTGACGCCTAACCTCATCTCATTTATTTATATTCCAAAATTAACCAATTTAACAAAAAGAAACTCCTAGTATTTTCAGGGATTGACATTTTAGTTGATTCTCATTCGTGGTTCTTATTTCGGCTCCTTTACAAATTTAATTAGTGAAAAGTTCTGTATTGCCACTGGGGTTATTATTATGAGTTTCTTTGAACTGTCATTTTAAGTTTAATCATTTGAACTTTTCTTCTACCTGTCACCATTTGAAACTGCAGGCTACATGTTTTTTGTCACAATATTTCCCTTTTTATAAAAGTGTTAGTTTATATTTGAGAAAATTAACTTCTTTGTCGCTCAGGTTGGCGGAAATGAACATAGCTCTGAAGGACGTGGATGTCGACAGTGCGGATATAACATCTCAACATAGTATATGGAATTTAGGAGATGACGATGCTGATTTATACACACTTGCAAAGACTTACTTTGATTTAAAAGAGTTGGATAGGTAATTAATCTAACAGTACTACATTCAATTACATATCTTAGGTTTATTTTAAAACACATTGTTTTCTGTTTCTTACTTTTAGATGTGCTTTTTACACTGAAAAGAGCACTTCACCAAGGACTAGATTCCTTCACTTATACTCACGTTACTTGTCTGGTGAAAGAAAGAAACTTCATGATATGACTGACTCAACTTTGCCACCAGACCCTACTCAAAATAGTTCATTGCGTGAGTTATCTGCTGAGCTTCGCATGGAGTATAAAGAAGGGAGGCTCGATTCATACTGTCTGTATTTATATGGAGTTGTATTGAAAAGATTAGAGTTAGTAAGAGATGCTCAGAATGTGTTAGTTGAAGCGATTCAAAAGGATCCCCTGCATTGGGGTGCCTGGCTAGAACTGGCAGCTTTAGTATCAGATCAAGGAAAAGTAAGCTCAGTTATAAAATTCTGTACATTTTTTTTTTTGATCCTGGAAATATTTGTTTAATTCAAGATGTTGCCTATTTAGGCACCCCTGACAGATATTCCTAACCACTGGATGAAACAGTTTTTCCTCGCCCACATGTACCTTGAGCAGCAGATGAATGAAGCTGCCTTGGAAATATATTACTTACTCCAACAAAATGGCTTTGAAAAAAGTAGTTACATAACTGCTCAGACAGCAATAGCTTCTCACAATAGAAGAGGTAATTTTGAAAAGAGACTCTACATTTTATTTGATCTTTAAAACAATAATTTCATCTTTTTTATTTAATTCTGAATTATTTTTCATTTGTATTTTTAGAGGTTGATTCTGCTATAGCAACTTTTCGCCATTTGCATAAAGAAGATCCATACAGATTAGACAACCTAGATGTTTATTCAAATCTTTTATATGTTAAAGAGTTAAGAGTAGAATTATCTCAGTTGGCTCATCATGTTTGTGAAGTTGACAAATACAGGGTGGAAACTTGCTGTGTTATAGGTAACCCAGTTGTTTTAAATTTTTATTGTCCTTCCTAATTTATTTCTTAAGTGGTTTTGACTATTGAGTTGTTTTTCTTTCTTGTCTCCCCCATCTACTCCTTCAGGAAACTATTACAGCTTGCGTTCTGAGCATCAAAAGGCTGTTCTATACTTCCAGAGAGCATTGAAATTAAATCCACAATACTTGTCAGCATGGACACTCATGGGTCATGAATTTATGGAAATGAAAAACACAAATGCTGCAATTCAAAGTTATCGTCAAGCCATTGGTAACTTCTAGTACCCTTTTAAAGTTGTTCTGCAATAATCTTATTTCAGGTAAAGTGTAAGATTTTCAATGTTTGGGATTTTGTTTTGCAGAGGTAAATAGAAGAGATTACCGCGCATGGTATGGCCTTGGTCAAACGTATGAAATTCTGAAAATGCCATACTATTGCTTACATTATTATAAGCAGGCTCAACAGCTTAGACCAAATGATTCTCGAATGTTAATAGCACTGGGAGAAACCTATGAGAAGCTTGATAAAATTCAAGAAGCTCTGAAATGTTATTTTAAAGCCAGAAGTGTAGGTGATATAGAAGGTATTGCCCTTCTCAAGATGGCTAAGTAAGTTAACTTCACTCTTTCCTTCAGCAGTATATGTCTTTGTGGTTTTTATCCCTCTCTTTTTTGTCTTGATACTTACAAAGTGTTATTTTCAGATTGTATGATAAATTACAAGAAAGTGAAAATGCCTCTGCAGCATATATAGAGTATGTGACTGATAATGAAAGTAGTCAAGCAGGTGAAAAAAGTGAAGTTAGCCAAGCTTATAAGTACCTTGCTAATTATTACATTAAAAGAAATCAATATGATGAAGCCTATAAATATGCTCATAAGTGCCTTGATTATGAAGATGTAAGTTGGATACTTCTCAATGTGTTGATATAATCTTTAGCTCAAGTATTTTACCAATTACATATCTGATTTTGTGTTTTTTACAGACAAGGGAAGAGGGCAAAGCCCTATTAAAGGCTGTGGCACAAACAAGAAGTCAAAGTGATAGAGAATTAATGGTAGGAAATATTACTATGTCTTGTTAGTGTCTCAAACAAATAAGATTCTTATTATGATTTTAATTTTATTGTTTATCTAGCATTGTTTTCCCTTACCTTGAAAATAAAATTAAATAAGAGTTTTGGATTTATCTTAAAAAGTTTTTAGTAGCACAAACAAGGTTTTATTTTATCTATAGCACTGTATTGTTACATTACCATTTCAATATGGATATTGTTATAACTTAATTTTACCGCCAGTCAATCTAAAATTGAAGAGAGAATTACAATTTTTTATTGAAATGTCTTAATTGTTCACAAAGTACTATTCCTTCTCAACTACTCACCTAAGTACAATTTGGAACCTTGGATATTGAGTCACAATTGCTCGTAACAGGGTTATAAGCTGTTGTTGGTTCACAACTGCCTACTTTCATTGTTCCATCACGTAAACACATGATGAAAAAGTGACAATTGCCTGGGTAAGGGTGGCGAGAATGATCACCAAATTCGAGTATGTTATGTATGGGGCATTTAAACAACACTGGTTTCATTGAATCCGCAGGCTGGAGGGGTACTGGAGACCACAATTTAAATATGTTAAGGAAATAGATAAGTCTAAAAAAACTCAACATGTTTTATGATAATCTTACCCATTAGAGTTGATGCCTCGGTGGGTCTTTCACATTGAAATATCTCCTCATCGGTCGGTCTTCTGCAAACTTTCTTATTATTGTCAAAAATTAGGGATCGTGGGCATGAATCTGGTACGGCTGTACCATTGTCACATTTGTAGAAACGGTTGCAATTTTTGGGATCTGGATATATTCCAAAGAGTCTTTCACACACTCCTCGCCCTTTTGGTGCCTCTGTGGATGATCAGTTAATATGATGTAACAAACCCTGTGTTTTATATTTCTTTTTTTCTTCCGCCATTTGAAATACTCACGTAATCTCTTTCCCTTTTCGCAAGTCACTTGATGTAGCAGTTTGCAACCTTTGAAAAGTACAAAGCCATACCCGTCCAGGCACTGTCCAAGGTAGGGCTGCCCATTCTGGCAGGTGAAGTAGCGGTCACAGTAGACCTTATGAGGGCGAGAATAACTGCCTCCAGGCTCACAAACGGGCCACTCTGTGGCTATACAAATATTGCAATTATCAATAATACAATCTACTCAAAGTTCATTATAAAATAAAAACTACAGTGTCGATGTGGGCTTGTCTGGACACCCTCTCACCTTCACCTGCCGTCCCGTCCCAGGATACGGTGAGGGCGACTCCCTCCAGGGGGTTGCTGGGTGGACCGTCCTGTGTCTCGTAGGGAAGTCCAGGGTCGTCACCCTCGTCAACATCCATGAGCGCGGTCCGACCCATGCCGACCAAGCAGACCAACAAGGCGAGCCCCGACACCCAGTGCGCTGAAACTGTCATGACACGCATGGCACCCACCTCGTCCACCCTCCGGGACAGCACGCTCGTCAATGCCGTGGTCGCCGAGCCCACCGAACTTCGCTTCTTCATCGGTCTGCCCCCCTCCTCTTTCTAATAGACCTTACCATTAGTTTGATAGTGAGTGTGGATGGGCTGCTGGTGAGCTCCAAGGAGATAATACTAGCCCGCCCGACGGAACGCGCTCCACACCCAAGCATTACCCCTGACGAGTGCGGCCCATGTCATTCCCCCACCCCCTGAGATAAGGCCACTGCTCTGGGAGCAGTCCAGAGCACCACTCCACTGATGACCGTCGTCACCCACCGGAGCTTGATAACACTTCAAGCTTATTTTTATTTTCTACAAATTGTTTCATTTTTAAAAGTGTAGTGTTCTATTTAAAGAAAGGGGTACATTTAGAATAAAGACATGAATGTAGATCAGGATGTTTAATATTACAGTTGACAACACTCCTTACTGGTATAAATCACAGTTTTTTGGTAGTTTTCTGCCTTCTGGCGAATTATTTTAACTCTAATGTAGTCAGTTATAGAACTAACTCACAAGAGAAAGTCCATTAATAGCTTTAAACAAGATGTTTTAGCGCTGCAGACTTAAGGTTTTGACACAGATAAGTTCCTCTAAATTAACTTCCTTCACTTTCTGCCCTTTTTCTTTGCTTTTTCTTTAGCTAAATCCTTTTCTGATATTAATCCCATTTTAATTTGGTACTCTCGGACTAACTGCTCTTCAACCTCAGGTTCAACTGGCGAATAACGTGAATATTCCATACTGTATTCTCCTTTGCCTTGAGTTAAAGACCTTAGTTCCCCAACAAATCCAAACATGTTATTTAAAGGAACCTGTAAAATAGAAAGAGACAATTTGTTCTCAAACCAATTTTTACTAAAAGAAAATAATGATGTAGAATGTAGGTATAGCATACCTCTGCTTGAAGGGTTATCCAACCTTCCTTTCCCTCACTTCCTGCAACAATTCCTTTCCTTCTGGAAACAATGCCCATTATTGCTCCTTGGAATTCAATAGGTAAGGACACTTCTACACTCATGATAGGTTCCAACAGCTTCCAGGAACCTAATTCAAAAGCTGGAATACAATTTTAAAGTTGGTGTAAGATATCATTAATAAGTGAAAACCATGATAAATGGGTTGTGAACATAATTCTTTTGAAACACACCATCCTGGAGAGCCCCCTGTGCTGCAAGATTAAACGCATATTCACTTGAGTCCACAATATGATGTGCACCATCAAGCAAACGCATTTTTATACCAGACAACTGATGTCCAGTCAATGGTCCTAAAATTTAAAAGTCTAATTAACTTAGTTGACCTCTAAACTAGGGCAACTCATTAGAGAAAAAAGTGGAGAACACTTGCCTTTTTGAGCAGCTTCATGCAAACCCTTCTGGATACCAGGAATAAATTGTTTTGGAACATTAGTGCCAGTAGTCTCATCCACAAATTCTATCAGTGTATTTTTTTCTGGTGGAAGTGGCTGTAAATAAGTTTGGGCAAATGAGTGTCAAATAAAGACTCCGTCAGCACAACAGTCAACCACTTTCTTGAGGACACTTACCTCTAACCAACCAATCACCTTGGCATACTGACCAGCACCTCCACTTTGTCTTTTGTGCAAGTAATCAAATTCATATGGGGCTACTAATGTCTCTCTAAAGGATACTTTAGGCTTACCCAAGATAACTGGGCAGTTGTACTCACGTTCCATTCTCTATGACCAAAAATAAATAAAAACAATTGCTGGATAAAGAAAAACTAATGCAATCGAACAAAATATGTAAATAATATTAAAATTAAGTACCTGGGCATAAATTTCTAAGTGAAGCTCACCCATTCCCGAAACAATTGATTCCTTATTGTCAACATCATAACTATAATGGAAAGTAGGATCCTCTTTAGTGAATCGGGAAATAGCCTTTGACATTTGGTCTGTGAGAGTAGAAGAGGCTGCTTTGATGGACATGGAAATAACAGGGTCTGGTACATGCATTGATTCCTTGATTTCAAACGGGAAAAAAAGAAGAAGAGAGTTAGTGAAAATTTGTTTTGTTAAACTATGAATGACTTTCGAACACGGTATAAAAGTATCACTTACCATGGACATTTTCAATTTGCTGTCTACAACAAATGTGTCTCCACTTGCGCAATCAACACCGAAGAGGGCAAAAATATCTCCAGCAAAAACTTCATTAACTTCTTCCATCTCACTTGAATGCAATCGAACCAAGCGTGAGACACGGACCTAGAATACCATAGGGTGAAAGAATCAGACCATGACAACTATTTACAGTCAGAAGTCAGACCAAACTAATGTCAGAATTCTTCAAAACTCTAAACTGCTTTGAGAAGCAGGACCTTAGGCTGGTCATACTCGAAGATATTTCTGGGCAGAGAACCTTACCCGCTTTGCACTTCGGACATTGTAGATTGTTTCACCCTTCGTAAGCTTTCCTTGGTAGCACCGCATGTACGTCAATTGTCCAAATTTGCCAGCTTCAAGTTTAAATGCAAGAGCAACAAAGGGGTTTTTGTCACTACGCTCAGGGCTTAAAACAACTTTAACTGTTTCTGGTGTTTCATCCTTCTTCTTCCTACATAAAAAAGTTCTCGTAATGGTATCTAATATCTATCATATATGTTTTCATTAATTTTGTATTGGTCAACATACACTTCCTTTTGAAGAAAAGCAAGATTTTCAACTTCACCAGGATTAGGCAAATAATCAAGCACAGCATCCAGAAGAGGTTGCACTCCCTTGTTTTTCAGAGCTGTACCAACTAATACTGGAGTGAAAATTCTTTTCAGACAAGATCTTCTAATAGCTTGTTTAATATCTTCTTCTGATGGCTTTTTCTCCTCTAAAATGATTAAAGGTGAATTTGGATTAAGTGGAAAGTACATACGTAAATGTTGTAAATTGAGTAAAACTCTGCTTACCCAAAAACATTTCTCCTAATTTTTCATCAACGTTGGACACATGTTCAATTAATTCCTGTCTGAATTCTTCAGACATACTGCGAAGATCAGCCGGAATTTCATCTTCTCTCACAGTTTCTCTGAGAAAAAAATAGGAAAATATAACAATATTTCAAAATAAAAAAGTTGACTGGAATTCTGGAGCATGTTAAAATCTACATACCCAAATTGGCCTTCAAAATACAAAGCTTTATTTTGAATTAAATCAATGATTCCTTTGGTTTCACCCTCTGCACCAATAGGCAGTTGCAGAAAAGCAGCATTGTGCTGTAACTTAGACCTCAATTGATTCAAAACATGTAGAGGATCTGCCCCCATACGATCTAATTTGTTAATGAACCCAATACATGGGACGTTATATCTTTTCATTTGGCGGTTGACAGTTAATGTTTGGCTCTGAACACCCCCAACAGCACAAAGTACTAAAATGGCACCATCAAGTACCCTCAAAGCTCTCTCAACCTCAACTGTAAAGTCAACGTGGCCTGCAGCAAGGAAAGAACAGTTTGAAAATTGTGTGATACATCCACTGCCTCTGAACTAAAATACATTGATTTGTGTAGTAGCTATTTTAACTTTTCTTACCTGGCGTATCAATTATATTAATGTTGTGGTCTTTCCACCGTGTGTATGTTGCTGCAGATTGAATGGTTATACCACGTTGTCTTTCCAGTTCCATAGAGTCCATCACAGCTCCGACATTATCTTTTCCTTTGACCTTAGAACAAATTTTAAGTCTATACAAAAATAAATTAGAAGTTAATGTTGACAACCTAGGACAAAAAAACAACTCACCTCATGCATTTGCGCAATACGACCAGTATAAAATAAAATTCGTTCAGTCAAAGTTGTCTTTCCAGAGTCAATGTGGGCTGATATGCCAATATTTCTGATTTTTTCTAGGGTGGCGTGCTTGGAAAACTTGGTATTGCTGGACATGCATAATGATGGAGTCTGTAAAAATCAAATTATTACAGTACTCTAAGAACATTGCCAGAGACGTTTAACCTCACAGCCAATAGTTAAACACACTTACTTTATCAATGTTCCTTTTGAATTTAGAGAGTACCCATAATGGTTTGTCTATCTTGAACGTCCGCAGCATTTTAGGTGCAGAACGTTCTGAAAGCACGTTCGTTTACAACCAAAATATGATGAAATAACCTAAGTTTGCATGCTTTCTGCAAAAGCAGAAACAGAAAAGAAAAGGGGGGAGGGATAGAGAGGTGGAGGTGGAGAGGAGAGAGGGGAGAGGGGTGGGAGTGGGTTCATTCAGTATGAAAAACTTAGCACACTCTCGTGTGATGCAAGCATGGAGTCAAGCCACTAACGTAGGGAGACGCAAGGTTCGGCCGGGTGCCACCAGCCCTTGGGGGATCCGTCCACCGCCTTCGTGGTAGGTGGCGGAACGGTCCGGAGTCTTTACCTTCCTCCTCCTTTCTTTTCTATTAGGTGCTGGCAACTGTGGCAAATCATTCTGCTCTAAATATTGACAGAATATTGGAGTAAGAAGGCTTTTTAATATTATTTTAAAACTTTGATTGTCATTTCTACACTGTTATGTACGATCTGTACAGAAAAAGTCCTGATGAATGCTTCAAAAAAATGTGAAGTTTTGCCGTAGGTTGGCATGTGTGCTTGTTGTGATTTGGGTGTTGTGATCGGGTGTAGAGGTTACGTCGGTTTCGTCAACATTTGATTACTTTTAAATGCTATGAAATGTTTTTTAAGAAAGGGCCACAGTTTAGTTAAAACAATTATTAATTTCTTCATCTAGTTTAATTATTGGGACGGTATGACGATGGCAAAAAAGTAATATCTTTGTAAAATTAGCACTACGGAACGGGCGATCGTAAAGGCTGCACACTTCTTTAACACTTTAAACAAATAAAAATAATTTTACCGGGGTGTAAGGGTACTGAATAGCATCTCTCAAGTGCAAGGATGATCAGCATTATACTGTAGGGACGATTTTCACCTTAGAAAATACATTTGTTATAGTTTTTAGTCAGTCGCTAGTTCACTCAGCGCAGACGACGTAGCGGAGACGCTGGTCGAAGGGTGGGGGATCCGCCATGACAGATATGTCTGTCTCTCTCACACTATCCCCCAATAGCTCGTAGCAACGTCAAAATTTCGCAAAAGATCCAATTTTTGTTAAGGTACAGAGGAAAAAAATGTGCTGGTGATCATCAGCATTATATACCGAATCTATTGGATACCTTGATCCGACTCTTACTCTAAGAGAAATGTTCTCAAATCGTTGAAGAACTAGGTGGTGCACCAGACCTTGCGTCTCCCTACGTTAGTGGCTTGACTCCATGATGCAAGAGATGTATATGTGATATGTGATGTGAGATGCATCGAATTATTTTCAGGTAAGGTTATTTTGCCCGTAAGATTAATGGATGTGGCTCTTTGCACCAGGTTTTCTCAACGGTGACCGTAGAAGTAAATCATGTCCTTCCCTCTCTCGAAGCGTCAGAACTAAGAGCCAAGTCAAACTCTCCCCTATGCCACATAACCTGACGGTTTTTGGCGCCAAAGTATTAACGGTAGCTGTTCTGTTTCTGTTATTGTTCTTTATCAGTCAGATACTTCTATTTATTTTCCTTTTGTCGATTCGTCAAGGTTTGTGGTATCTGAAGTGATAACCACTGTTCTCAGTAAAACCCAATTTTGGGGTTTGTTTTCTGGTAACTACGTCTTTCATTTATCGTTATTTGCTAAAATACTGTCATTCTTCCAGTATGTCAAATTTTCATGAATGATAATAACTTTTGTTACTGATCACTTTTTTATTTCAGACATTTCTGTTGATAACATATTGCCCTTAATGAATTGAGCTGTTATGGGATGGCATTGAATCAAGCAAATGATAGTATGTCGAACAAGGAGAAGAGGTTACGATCCCTCAGCAGTGATGAAGAGAGCAAGGAAGAAATAAAACATGTGGCGAAGAAGCAGTGTCATAATGGAGAAAAGGTCAAGAAAGACTTGAATAAACTTTTGGATTCCAGTACTGAAGATATCCGTTTGGTTCTAGATTCGAGTATTGAAGACCAATCCTCCAATCATTTGTCTGACAAACCATCAGCGATTTGGGTCAAGTGTGATAAGGATTTGTCTTCTGACACGGATGCACCCCCTGTGAATTCAAACATTAAGAAATCTAAAGAGAGAACCAAAGAGGAAGGAAAAAATAGTGATGAGGATTCATCTTCTGACTCTGATGAGAGAGAGAAGAATGGAAAGGATTTATCTTCTGACTCAGATGCACCCCTTGTTACTAAATCTAAGACAAGCATGAAGAATAGTGAGAATATCCCTAAAAAATTAAATTTAGTGTTAAAGAAAAATGAATCAGAAAAGAAACAATCAAAGAAGGCAAATAAACCAATAGGTAAAAATAAATCTGGTGGCAATGATTCTACCTCTGACTCTGGGCCTGATTCAGAGTCGGAAAAGAAACCTATGAAGAAGACAAGCAAGCTGTCTAGTAAAAAGAAGTCTGATGGCAATGAGTCTGCCTCTGACTCTGGGCCTGATTCAGACTCAGAAAA